TAAACCTTGAGCAAATTGGTCGATCGCGGGGTTTTTGAGTTCTTATTATTGAGGAGCTAATTTTGCGCAGCGATGATAATCTGCCAGCCACCCTAATTAACTCTTCTTTCTAGGCGTTCTTCCTGTGTGGAAAAGGGCTTTAGTATCTGAACTTAGTACTTTCATCGATGGTTCCTAAGGTCATCTGGAGTTTGGAATTATTGATCCGTCCAGAATCTCTACATACTTGATTATTCAAAATTCCATACAAGTGGGTGAAGGCGGCCAGCAAGTTGCTTACGGTGCTGTGCAGAAATCGATTCACTTATCTCATACCAGTCGGTGATATTTAATATTTCGTAAAACGAACCGTACTGTCACTTGTACACAGGAATATGGTTGAAAGTTGCAGCGACTGATATGTCAGTTTTATGATTGACGGCACATTATGAAAGGGTTTCCATTGTGTGATGTGGAACTATGTTTTCTATTGCACCGTATCAACACCCAAGTGAAATTTCATGATCGATCTCGGAAAAAGGCAACTGCCATTAGCGTGCTTATTGAGTTTACTGACAACCAACCCTACTTGATTCACCTCACCAACAAGCGCAGTAGATGAAAAAATGTTCTCCTTGGAAATTCTTATTCTTTTTGGAGAAGGAATATCCGTCGATCGACTGTGGAACCCCTCTGCGGAGGCCACGAATTGGAACAGAATTTCGGAATTACAATCACAGGTTTACCCGTTGGAATTTTTTGAACATATATTTGTCTCATCGCAAATCAACTTCAGTGTTTTTAAATCCAAGCTTCTCAAATTACCAGAGCACAATAAAATTCCAAGTTTCTTGCGAAAGCAATTTCGGATCAATTTAGAAACATCGAGAGGGGGGGGCTTGTTCTACAAGAAGTGCACTGTGGCTAAGTGTTTCACAACTTAAGTTACGCTACTTGCTCTCGTAAAATGAGAAAACATCCAGCTGGCGCTCAATGCCGCTGATAGCCTCGAAGAATGAAAATTGTGAAGAAGAGGACGCCTAAATGTGGTAGCCCCTCAAAATACAACAAAGTTTTCAAACTTACCCGGTGTGGCGGAACATATGACTGAATAGAAAATGGGTTGTCTGATTGTGATATTTGATGATGTATCTCGCTAACTTGACTCCCCCTAGGCTTGTTTTGCTAACAAAATCTGAGACAAAATACCTGTTGTCTCTCACTCACCCAAATTCTTGTCATCAAGTAGAGGAATGGAGAAGACAATTGTAAGCAAAATGTTCATCATTATTCTTCAGTACAATGCTCTTCTGACAATCTTAGCCACTTATAACAAGAACATGGTACTAAAAATCTGCCTACAAATGCATTTTGACGGTGTGCTGCGTGTATTCCAATTAGCCATTCTGGCGGTTGTTGCTGGCCGATGTTGCTTTTGGGTCTGCTGAGTAACCGAAAAATAACACACGCGCTGCATGGCGCGTGACTTGGTGCAACCTAGCTGGCTCGATCGAAAGACAGATCATTGGCCCCTATTGAGTTCTCGGTACGGTCAATTATTTTTGACACTGCAGGCGATATAGATTTATTCACGAGGTCCTACTATGGACAAAAATCAGAATTTGAACGTAGCGTACATTTTAAGCGAAACCAGCTTAGCAAATAGGTGGCACATGATCTCTTCAAAGAACTCCATTTATCCTATTACAGCGAAAAAGGTAACGTCACAGTTTATCCTTAATGTGACACGAGTTGATATAATATCGACCGTTGTTATGCTGCAAATGAAATATTCCCTGCTAAACCGCGTAATTTTTCAGTTTGTTAATCCTCAGATGAAAACGCCTATATCTAATGCATTTTGTTTTACCGTGCGAGTTTTCGGATATAATACATGTTTCGTATCGAAACATATGGTTCAATGAAATATCTCAGCCAATTTGGCGAAATATGTAATTCGCTCAGGTTACTGCTTGGTTGCTCGTGACTTCACTTCATCCCATGGAACAAACTTCGATCCGTGGCAACTGTCGCAGGTAAATTTGCGTCAATAATGCATGACAAAATCAAAAGATGCTAAGCAAATCTTTGAAGAAAGCGAATTATTTTCATGACCATGAATAAAAGAAACCATGATCAAGTGCCCGATGATGGAAATGGAAGTGGATGAATTTATCATGCAGCATGACTGCAAGTTGTCCTATTATGGCCATCACATTTAAGACGAAAAATCATGCGTGAACCACCATTCAGTTCACAACAAACTTGGTTTCGTGATGGTTTTGAGCGTGGTTCTACATGGCACGGATTATTTACCACAAAGGTTTTTGCCCAAATCATTTGATTTTTTGCGTTTGTGACACCTCAAAAAGGCTAAAAAGCTTTTGTTTGCCGTGATTTAGTGTGTAATTTTTCATACGGCGCGCCTTTCTCTCTCACTAAGTCATTCCGCTTTGCGCAGCTTTCCCTTCAATGGAGGCACTTCATCCACGAACGCAGAGCCATGCGGGGAAAATAAACTAGTGACCACTTAATCAACATGAAGTATGACAAATCCGGCGGTGATCGAACGTAATGATAAGCGATTCACTATATTTGCATAATACAACCGGCCGAACATTCAGGAATTATTTTCCATACTGTAGTAGGGTCATTCATCAGTTCCATTCTCTGCCAGTATGCCATGAATGAGTGCCAGTACTTCATTTTAAATATCAGTTAGTTCATGACGTTCAAAGGACGGAATTCGGCGCAAATCTGCTTAAAATAAACTGTGAAGGTTGACATGAGAGTGGGTTTTAATATTTTTTCGAACTAACCCACGAAACCTCGCCCGTTATCGAGCATAACCGAGTGAGACTCTACCACTCAGCTACGAACTGTGCTGTACAAGTAACGATTGTTGCAAATACACATACGGACACCACTGAGTTGTACGTATAAGCGCAAAGACTCATTCGATTAAGCGAAGCTTCATCAGCAATGATCTACCAATAATAGACTAGTGAATCAGTAGACAAAGACAAATTTCAAAGGTTGGAACAAGGCGCCAGGCAATTTTTTCGAAATTCATTATTCCAACTACGATTTCATAAGGCCATTTTCCACAGTGACACATGCAAAAGGTCAAAAAAGTTGGTTGTTGATTAAATGGGTATCGAACTTAAAGTCTAAAGGTGTTCCCCTTGACAACCTTAATGGATCATGTTCATTTGGTATACACTTATCAACGTATCAACCCCCAGAAAATGGCTGATTCTGGTTCTTTTTTGCAGAAATTTTCAAGAAGAAGCCAATGGTTTTTTAACCCTCTTTCCGATTTTTGCAGTATTGATGCGGTTTGCACATTAATTTGTCACCATCGTTGAACCGCGTTGTATTCATCATTATTTCGCAATCATTCATAAACTTAATGCATCCAATTGGATTCCCGCCAGATGTATCCATCTATTTTTGTCAATCTGACAGCAAGGACAGTTAACTCCAGGCACTGTTTTTACACTTTTGAACGGCATTTTCTGCGCAGCTGAGATTTGTTCATTTGGACCTGAGGCCATCAAATTCGGCTTTTTAAAAACTTGGTTTAGCGGCATATGCGATCCAGTGGATAGACTTGCGAAATATCAGAAATTTCAAACTTCCGAAAGTAAGAATGTCCTGAAATCAGTAAATTCATTAAAAATTCTACCAAGTTGTGAGCTTTCGTGAATAAACATACTGAAAAAGTACCCTTACCCGAAATTTACAATAACTGGTCACGAAACGAAGAAGGGTATGCGATTCACCCAAAACGATTCAGACTGAAAAGGCGAACGAATGACGTTTGTTCAGTTTTGAACAGTGATGGGAGATTAGGAACAACACTGAAGCAACTGAACAAGAAACCAGTTTTTATACGATAAGAATTAACAGACTTGAGCCACCTGGATTCGTATTTTACAGGCTTGAAGCGCTGGGATAAATTGTAAGAGGTTCAAATAAATGAGTCAATTCGCCGAAAGACTACTAGTCGCACAAAGCTGGTGGTCTGCCCACTACACATGATGTCATTTACTGCGATGTACAGGCGGTGGGTCCAAACCAAACGGGTTAGTATTTGAATGTGTAGTTCAAAAGTTTGTGCTGACGAGTAGTTCGTTCCGTAGCTTACTACTTACTGCCGTCTAGATATATAATACCGGTTTTCGGCTTATTTGACCTGATGCGGCGAGTGAGATAAGAGCTTTTCTAAGGGGCATCGGCCGCGTTCAATCGAGAATAGACATTTTGCATAGAAGCTTATGATGGGGCCCAGAATGCGAGTCATAACCTTCTTTGATTGTTTCTGCGTTTCGTAAACTATGGCAGATTGATCCGCAATTCTCTTCCGTTGCACACAGTTTGCGAATTGGCAAAGTTGAAAGCACCCGCAAAGTTTAAGCGAAACTGGTCACGCTTTAGGAGTCAAAGCTAAACGCCTTTCACCTAAAACTTTCAAGAATCCTTGCACTCTGTCTACAATGAGATGAGCAGGCTTAAATGATTCAGCACGTTGTTGGTCAGAACAGGACGAAAATAGATAAACGTACACTGATGACGTTGATCGGAATATCGCTTCTAGTTCAGTCGAGGCTTGAGTGCCTGCCTAACGGTATCAGAATAACTATCCATGAAGTGACTAATGCCTGATTTTTGTGACTGGAAACTATGAATAGAGCACTGTTCCTTTCGTTGCGGTTTACGCGCACGAACGGACCATAAACAGCGGCACACACTTTGTCAACTTAAAGGAATGAAGAAGGTATCAACAAAAAGCATAATCTGCACCATATGGGATTGTTTTGCTTGTTCTCATAAGTGGCTCTTCACGTACTGTGCAGCTGTGCAACTGTAAATGTTTGATATGCCTATTTTGCAAATACGCATCACCGATTCGATGCGGTCTGATAAGAGAACTGCATAATTTGGCAGATATTTTCCTCGACTTCAGTCTAAATAGCTGGATCTCCAACTGACTATCCCGTTGCTGTGGATGTTTTCAGGATATGTGTTCCAGAATATTTATTCCGACTAGATCAGTTGCGTAGTGTGGTCACTTCTGGTAATTTAACTCCTTCCGTACCCATGTTTGAACGAAAAGTGAGTTGTAACTCATCGTAATAATGCAACACATATTTTGTATTTTCGAAATGCCTGTGAAAAGTAAGAGATCAACTTCACACAACTTGAGAACCTTAAACAACCTTCATGAAATATATAATAAGGGGAGATTATTGGCCCCAATTTTAATGGTGGCCCAACCGGAAGGTGGTCACAAAATGGCCACGTGGCACCCAAAACCTGGTTGGGTGACGACGCACACTGCTAACTAATCGTTTTTCTTCAAGTGCTTAATTTCTGAAGCGGCCAGTTCGGAATGACGAGCTTGGACCACTTGAAACAACCTACGGTTTGTTTAGCTTGTGCCCACAGAATCAAAAAATAAATTCATTTTCGGCAACTTAAATTCATCACTTGATCTTCCCGCGTAGGTTTTCGGCGACAAAATACTCCGGATTCTGATAACAGACGATGCTAGAAATGAATCAAGGCGTAGACGGTTAATATTCTGATAGATTTTATAGCGGTGTCGAGGTATTAGTGAGAATTTGGGTGGCAAGGAGAAACATCGCCGTTCTTCAAGTTCATTGCGTCGATAGAAATCCGGCACTAGTCACTTGATCGCGTGCGAAACATCCCTAATTTTATTGTTAGTCATATTCATGACATGCTTTTGCGTTTATTTTTAACAGTGCGAAAAATTCTATCTCTGTAAGGGTACGAATCTCCGGGCAAGCATGTTTCATTTAGGTTGCAGTCAGTGACCTATATTGAAAGCAAGTACATCACAAATTACATCGAAAAAATGATGTAAGCGTGCATGTCAAAACCATAACTTTTGTGCTTAAAAAATATTACACTTTCAGGTTTGAAATTTGCACGAGTCGGAATTTTAGTTTAGAATTTCACTGTCGAATATTTTTACATTGCTTCTTTCCATCACTTGTGAACAGTGATGTTCTACACGTATCATTTCAAGAGGAAACTATGTTAAGTATCCAAAGTGAAACACGACAGGCAAATCAATGAACCAATATTCGAAAAAGTAAAGCCCCCGTTTCTAGCACTACTAAACTCTCATCTATTTTACGTCCGCATAACTGCCCTTGGGGTTATTTGTGCTTCCACGAAATATGCTTCAGGAAGTTCAACATTGAGCTGGAATTATTTATATCTTGAAGTTGTGACTGTCTGGAACTACAAGAGTCCCAGTACTGCGATTAACTTTCTTGAGTTTTTTTTCTAAAATTTTTATCATCTGCGTTAGACTGCCATGGAAACCGTGAGATTGCTAAGTGTCTACATTATTGCATGTATTCGGGTGTCACGCCTGTGATTTGTTACACTTTTCATGTCAGAATGTGCTATTTATTACATGTCACTGTCAGGATAATATGTTCGATCACGTCCTATAACTGTGATGTTTTCTCCAAGTAAAGAGTATGAGAAAGACATGTCAGCATGCAACAAAATCCTGGATTGCGGATAGGTTTCCCTTCAAAACGGGTTAACTGGGTTGAAGTGCTGATAATTTCGCTTGAAGTTTCAAGTAGTATCGGTTGTTGAAAAATAGAAGGGTGAGGTAATTTTGAGTCTCACCCCACATGAAATATTTTGTCACTGTCGCGTCCGTCAATGGATTCTGGCATATAACGCATAGACTAGGTGTCATGATAAACCAACAGTCGGGCTGGTCCTAATTCGCCTTCAGTGAATGTGCTTTAATCAGAGCAATAAGCGACTGAGTTGAAATGCTTGAGGATTGCTACTAACACAGAATCTATAGGAATTTTACTAGGAATTTTACTGTCAAAACCTTCCTTTTAAGTGAATGTCCTCACGTGCAGTATTCAAAGGATTGCTCATGGTCCTGTGAAATAGTTCCGTGATTTACACCAAATGAAAAAGTAACCCCCCAGTTCCCGTGGATTGACAAAATGTCCTGTTCACGTTATTTTATCAACCTGTTTCAAATGGTTGTTTTTCACCAATATCGTGGAGCCATCTATATTTTGATTGTAATAACACTGACTTTCATATTCGGGCGTTTACCTGGAAATTCCTTTACTAGATTAATTTTCTCCACTAAATTAAAAAAGGCGTTTATTCGAGCTGGATGGTCATGGTTTTTTAGAGGGACGCAAACAAAAAAAAGGTTGCAAAAACGCCATTTGAATATGTAGTTCTTAATCAATTTTTTTCCGGATTTCAGCGTATTCAAAAAGCATAAGCACAATGCTCTGCAGTTTTGCTGTGAATTTTTTGTCAGTTATGTATATGATTATCGGAATCAATTTTATAAACAAACGCACAATACTGGCTCAAGAATGCTCACCAATGTGTGTTATTCAATATATACATACATATATATATATACATATACGTATATACATATATATATATATATATATATATATATATATATATATATATATATATATATATATATATATATTATATATATATATATATTTACAGTGAATGCGCCGTTTGAATTTTGAATAAACGTTTCTGGTGCTTACTGTATAGTAGTTATCATTAAAGTTTGGTGCCACAGATGTCTATATCCTGTGTCATAGAAGTCACCTGTACCATTCCTTTTTCTGGTCGCGGCAGCGAAATGTCTAATCGTGCGTTACTATATTTAGGCTAAGGCATAAAAATCTAACATCTGCCAGGTATTGTAGATTCTCGCTGAATGTACTAGTATACAGTCATAAAAATGCTGTAGTTGACCCGATGTGTAAGCGAATATAGCTGGTGAAGTTCTGCATTTTGCCTGTTTATAAAGTTCTGCTTGTATCGTACCGTGCACTTCAAATTTACTCAGTGTTACAAATAGACGAATAGAATTGATATTTCCTATGGCTACCAACATACGTCGTTAAGAACCTGATTCGGTTGACGGTGATTCGGACCCACCCTCTGAGCCTGGACCACTACTGTCAAGACTTTGGGAAAATTGCTATATGCCAAAGCTTTTGGTATATTCAGATTGTTAGAAATTCAGCTACCAACAGGTTGTTATACCTCAATGACCTATTATTTGTAAGGCCCGGTTTGTTTCTTCCCTTTGGTGAAATACCGCATATTCATGATCTATCAAGTCATTATAAAACATTTACCGTTCAAACATGCGCACTGTAAAAATGTTTGTCCGATTTTTGGCTCAGAGAAGACGGTTATTTTCGCAATTCATGACACATGAAAAAACTTTAACAATGAACTTGATACGTGCAGTAGAAAACTCCAGGAACCTTGAGTACACAAACATCGTGAATGGAAAATAATTCTTTTGAACCACTTCCGCATCATTATCGATTGTACTTACAATTGTTTTCCATGAGAAGCTGAAGAGACACAACTATTTTGTACCTATGTGTGACTCATGACAGTCCCACTGTCGTGGGCTCAGGACACCTGGAACAAGGGAGAACAATCGTTAGCAGACAAGGGACAGCGAATCGGTTTCGTGAAACGGTGAAACATGAACCGGTGTTCTCTGATCAGAGAGGACATATTGTAGGAGTGCGTATTTAAGAATATTTAGCCGAGGATCAATTTGTTTTGCAGCTGTGTCTTTGTAGTTTCATGTAAGAATGATACAGTCTTTGAAATCGTTCCATCATGTTTGAACTTATCCAACGAGAATAATGCAGGTGAATACCAGTACGACAGGATATTTTGTGCAGAAGCCACGCTATAGTGCCATGAATCCGTCGTATGATTCCTAAGCGGCTTTGTAATCTACGGTAAAATAGTCCACACCATTTGGTTTACACATAAAAATTACACCTTGCATTTACAGGTGAGCACTATTTACGCCGGCACGAATGGGAATTTGATTTTACGCTGGTTCAGCTACAAGGCCAAGGTTGACGACAGGAGCGATACATCAGGATATTTAGCAGAAAATCATGTTGTTTGTGGCCGGGGTGTTTGGAAACGAAGGATAATGGATATACTCCAGATTGATTTTCCTAGTGTGCGCGACATGCTAGTTTCCTTATTGGATCTTCTCAACGAAGTTCAAATTAACTCAACCATAATTTTCAAGGGAGCGTTTGTTGCACATGTACTTAGTAACTGTAATAATTTCGAGCGCGCCATTTCTTCGTTGGGTTTAGCCAGCTTGTGTGCTTCAGCAGCAAGTTGGTTGAAACCGGATGAAAAGTATATGTAGGCACACCGAGGACCTGGGTTAAAGACACAGTCAGCACGTATGACCCCGTGACGTGGATCCCGTAATCGAAGGATGAACGATGCTATATCCTGACTAAGCGTGACCTGATCACACTGCTCATCAGCCGCTTGTGGCAGAACGGTGTGCAAACTACTAGGCGAATGGTCGCAAGTTCGAGACTTTCCGGAGTTCCGTGCGATGCACAGTGCGAAATAACTGAACAACGTTTCACGATTTTTCAGAGTTGATTCGCTTCACTTATAGAACGAAGACTACAAAAATCGTAAACCGCTACCCGCTGACAGCAAACGTTGATCAGAATTTCTCTCCTTGTTTTGTCATTGAGCGGCAATCCTAGTCATCGTGCCATCTAACGATTGATGGAGTGACTGGAGCTTTGTGTTTGTTACCGGCCACTATGAGATATAGGAACATCCGTTAGGCCGCGCTTTACGCTTGTTTAACGGCCTCAAGCAGAGCTACGTGAATTGTTAACTTGGAAGAATATAAAGGTATCCACCAGAAAGTTGTCTAAATGTTTAACATGTAAGAATGCTTTGCTTGTCAGGATTTGCGATGCATCATACGTGATTTCTGGTGAGTTTGTGCAGCTCACTGATTATTCAGCACGCTCATACCTGGTAAAAAACTGGAGTTAGTCGCATCATCGTCTGATGGCCTTCGTTTAGTGCACATTAAAGCCGCTCCAGCTAAATAAACGAATTCCGCCCACCGGCTTACTGTTTGATACACGATGCGTTGTCTAGGTGCCATGCACGCTCGCATTTGTTAGAGATTCTTGCTAACTTGTCTGCCTTGGCGCAAGTTCACTTTGACAAGGGCTGTGTGTATGTTT